GTATTATTAAAACTAAACACATATGGGAATTATTAAGGTTTGTTACGTATTATTAAAACTAAACACATATGGGAATTATTAAGGTTTGTTACGTATTATTAAAACTAAACACATATGGGAATTTTTAATGTTTGTTACGTATTATTAAAACTAAACACATATGGGAATTATTAAGGTTTGTTACGTATTATTAAAACTAAACACATATGGGATATTAAGGTTTGTTACGTATTATTAAAATTAAACACATATGGGAATTATTAAGGCTTGTTACGTATTATTAAAACTGAATGCTTTCGCCCAATTTCCTATATTTTAGGTTTGCCTCGTTAATCTTTTAAATTATGAATTGTCAATTAAATATGTTCACAAATGTTCACTTTAATGTTCGGAATTTCCTTCATTTATTATGAAATTATTGTTACATAAAAGCTATTCGTTTCACCTATTTTTCCACAAGAGTGACGTCATTAAGCAATCGCACTTCATTTGTTCTCTCACTATTGAACAAGTGATGACTTCCAAGTTCAAATATAAGGCTTCCACTTGCAAATCTAGGCCTCCCTGCTGATCGAGTAAGCGTCTAACCCACTCAAATACTACAGTGGTTAAAACGGAAATCTGAAGCTGGCTAGTGGTAACGCCCAAGTTACTAGCTCATATTTGTTAGAAACCTATAAAAATTCAACCACCTAATACAATGTTTTATTAAGTATACATTGCATATTAGAAAATAATTTGTATATTTTATTTATGGTAAAGTTATTGAGGATATTTCATGCCGTTCCTAATCTTGAACTACTGACCAGAGGTAAGGTTGCTAGTTAGCAGCACCCTACCATTCACCATAAATGTTAAGGGATTGACAGTCAATCTTTTAATGTACTCACAGTTCGGAGAATATTCCATGGCATTTCACAGTTTCGAACCCGGATCAGCCCGGAGTTCTACCACAAGGCCAACACGCGATAATTAGAGACAAAAATGTTACCATCAGTATTGACCTTGGACGACTTCACACGACAAGGTAACCGGTTCGCCATGACCATCGTTCCCAGACTAATTGTGGATTGTTAAATTTCAATCTTGCCCGGTGAAGACCAGTTTTCACAAACTGTCAATTATCTTAAAACATTGTTTTAGCTCCCCTTAGTCCCTTGTTCCGTATACCTATGGGGGTCTCCTTATAGATTTTCGAAATTGGGGGGGGGGGGGGGCTGGGTCCCCTAAGGACCACTTTCACTTTGACCAATGCGTACGATAATAAAGTGTTCCTTTACGTTATTTTCTTTACTTTCAGTTCATAACTTTAGGAACCAATACTGAAATTTAACTCCTTACAATACGGATAAACAGCGATATGTATCAAGTTACTGGGTTCTTAAATAATTCCCCACTTCCTCCAACGACTTATTCAATGTTTATGTCGTATTATACCAGTAAACGGATCAAATCCCTGTCATACTTCATCTCAACAGTCGTATTACAAGCGCTGATTCTTATAAGAAGAAAGACATGCGCAGTCCTGTGACGTCTTTTTTTCAGCTTAACTGTATTATATTATTTTATTTCTTCCACACACTTTTAAGAAGCCACTGCAATGGATGAATGAAATCTAATTAATGAGAAAAGCAGGGAATTTTTTGTTTGTCCCCCCCCCCCATACAAACTGAATAACGAAAGTTTAAACATCATTCCTGCAACACCCTGCACATATTACTGTTCCAATGTTAACTCCATAAACAATATAACATTTAGTTATAGTAATATATGTAGGAAGTAGGAAGATTATTTTTTGATGAAATCTCGGATGAAATTGAAATTGTACAAAAAAAAAGGTTTTTAAGTTTCATTTTATTTAGGAATAAATAACTATTCTATACCCATAGATAAAAAAGACGTTGGGTTATTTTAACTACACATAGACTTAACAATATATTTTCACACACGCCTTCTCAGAGTTACTTTAAGTTCAGTCTCTACGACAAAGTTTTACACACTTTCTTAGAGTTACTTTTAATCGTGTTCCAGTCTCTACGACAAAGTTTCTCACACACCTTCTTAGAGTTACCTTTAATCGTGTTCCAGTCTCTAGGACAAAGTTTCACGCACACCTTCTTAGAGTTACCTTTAATCGTGTTCCAGTCTCTAGGACAAAGTTTCACACACCTTCTTAGAGTTATCTTTAATTGTATTCCAGTCTCTACGACAAAGTTTCACACACCCCAAGAAACAAAATTGCTGATTATTACCAAAACGCATTTCTTCTGCTTCAGTAATACAAAACTGATATCACGGATTAAGAACTAAATGGAATATTAATTTTAACTTTGCATTCATATAGTTAACATTCACACTACTATAATATAAATGATAATTATTCTCTATCGTTAACTTGTATCATCTAATTATTTTCTCCTCAACAAGATAAGTCAACTTACCTTTCCAACCAAGACGACAAACTTTGTTCACTTTGACGTTCACATTTATAGGTTTTGACCTCTTCATGCCGCAGTCAAAAGCTACAACCCTCAGGATATGATTGTGGCTTTGTTCCCGTGACAACGGTTCCGTATTCTTAATCCGTCCTAAATAATGAGAAAAATCAATAAAATAAAGCTTATAACATCTGAGCACATTTAACCAATTATGGGTTTCCAGTGAAAAATAAAAGAGAGATAATAAGAATAATTCCAAAAAACACTTAATCTAAAATAATATATAATATTCAACGTTAAAGTGGTACACAATAAAAAAAAAATTATTTAGGCCTATCTATGGCCTTCAAAATGTTGATGACTCTACATGTTTCGACGTTACAACACCTGAGGATGACGTTGTAACGGCGAAACATGTAGAGTCATCAACATTTTGAAGGCCATAGATAGGCCTAAATAATTTTTTTTTTATTGTGTACCACTTTAAGGTTGAATATTATATA